AAAAAAAAAAAAAAAAAACAAGAAGACAAAAAAAAAAAGGTGTGATTTTGAAATTTAAAAGAACACTGAAAGTTTACATTTTATAATAACATTATTATGCAGATTGTATTTAAACTTCAGAAATATTTAAGACAATTGTAACCCTGTAAAGTTGATGAGATATTAAAACAAGACAAAACACTTCTGACTTTTAACAGAAGCAATGACTCCCGAGTGATTTCTTTGAGGCGTCTCCCACTGAGGTCCAGGCATAGGTGGGTGGCCAGAGAGCTGGTCCCCAGCACCCTGAGCCTGGTTCTGGGCAGCAGGGGGCACAGGTTGTCATCCTGGGGGACTGTGCCCCCCCGGGACGGAGCAATGTCTGGGGACATTTGTAGGTGCCATGACTTGTGGGGGGTGGCGCTACTGGCATGAAGTGGGTGGAGGCCAGGGATGCTGCTCAACACCCTACAGTGCACAGGGCGGCCCCACCCCAGGGAAGGATCCGGCCCCGTCGGCAGTGCCACAAGGGGAGACCCTGCATTCATTATTCAGAAAAACACTGAGTTGGATCGCTGCTCACACCATACACCATGATAAACTCCCGACAGGCCAGACGGTGTAAACCAGGGGGACCGTGCAGCCCCTGTGATTTCCCTCCTCTCTCCTCCCGACTCAGCGTGTGGATTTAAACGTTGGCAGGGCCTAGGAAGGAGTCCCAGTGGTGCGATGGTAAAGCACTTGGCTGCTAACCGAAAAGCTGGCAATTGGGACCCACCCAGCAGCTCCAAGGTAGAAAGACCCGGCAGTGATCTGTTCCTATAAAGAAGACAGCCTAGAAAACCCTATGGGGCAGTGTCCTCTGTCATACGGGGTCACTATGGGTCGAATCAACTCCCTGTGCCACCCTACAACGGTGTCCTAAGGTTCAGCAGGCTAGGTGATTATGGGACACAGAGTTTGGGGATCAGTGAAAACCTCTAACCCAGGGGTTCTCACTCAGGGTGATTCTGCTCCTAGGGGACACTTGGTGAAGTGGGGGGGGGCATTTGTGGGTGTCATGACTTGGTGGGGTTACTGGCACCGAGTGGCTGGAGACCAGGATGCTGCTCAACACCCTACAGTGCACAGGACGGCCCACCCCAGAGAAGGATCTGGTCCCCATGTCCGCAGTGCCGAGGGCGGAGATACCTTGGCTAACAGGCCTCAGGTTTCAGGGCAGACCACTTGCTGCCCCCCTCCATAAAGTGGGCCTGTGTGTCCATGGCACCTCCCTGGTGTTTGTTTTGGGGCTAAATGGGTTCATATGTGGGGGCCTAGTGCCACTGATCACTGTATAATTGTCCCCCGGTTTCATGGATTCTGCAGTGACCCGAGTGGGGCAGGGTCAGGCCTGTCCCAGATCACATGACCGAAGCCCCCAGGGTTTGCGGCCTCCACGCAGCCTCGGGCCATGCCCACGCTGGCGGACTCTGTCCCAGCCACCCTGGCCACATTTCTGTCCCTTAAAGAGGCCAAGCCCGGTCATGCCCCAGGGCCTTTGCGCACGCTGTTTTTCTGTGCCTGGAAAGCCCATTCCCTCCCTGTTTGCTTACTTGCTCCAAGCCAGCACTCCCACAGCCTCCGTCCAGCCCATCCTGGACTCTGCAGTCCTCCCTCCCTGGGGGAAGTGCATGTCGGCCCCACCCTCATGGGTCCCCTCCACCGGCTTCCCCTCCCTCCCCCGACACCCCTTCCTGGAGTGCATCACTTCACCCTGCCTGGGGGGCAACCCATCACGCCAGAGACTGCACCCTCGGAGCCTCTGGGAGATGGGTTCTGCTGCGGTGTGGGAGGGGGTATCCTGGGGGGGAAGGGAGTTTGTTCTGGAGCCCTCTCCTCTCGACCAGATTGCCTGGGGCTTCACAAAAATCCATGTCTTTTCTGGTGTTGGGGACTCTTCGACCTTTTATGTCTCAACACTGTGGCCCCAAAGAAATGAGACCAAGGACCACCC